GTGAAGAATTACAGAGTTTGAGGGTATTATCTAAACTGTTCCATAGACTTACTGTACGATAAAAGAAAGTCCTTCGTCCAGATTTAGTTCTATATAAGGGTATCTGCAGAAGTTGGGAGCTTCTGGTCGTGCGAGCACTTATCTCACCGCGTGTTAGTATGTATGATCGCTGTCAGTGCGTAAAATTACTAAGGCGGACGATCACCATCACGCCAAATATCATGCAGCTCTCATTAACTAATTTTTAACTGAATCATTATGGCCTGTTCATGATCGTAAGTGGGTTCAAGCACTGAAGCCGGCGAGATTCGTCACGCTATCCGAACATCCAAAACATTCGCCAGAAAATATCTAACATGATTAGGCTCGTAAAACAGTACATGATTACTGCTGAGAATTCTTGGTTGCAACAAGTTCTTTTCACAGTTACAGATTACAAGATCAATCAAAGCTTGGATGAAAACTGTTTTCTGATACTGTTGCGTTAGAGGTGCAGCTCCTAAATGACGCCTTTCGGCACACTGCTTAATAACTTCGTTGCTACGCAATTGTAAATCAAATTTTCATTAGATAAATCGTCAAGAGGAAGAAGAGAAGCAGCTTGTCGTGCTTTGAAAACATGGCTCTGTCGCATAGAGTCCATCAATCGGGGAGATTTGATTCGGGAAAAAACAATTAAAAACCCGGCCCTAACCCCAACCCTAAGCTCTAAGCTAATAATAGCTTAAATGGAATCGCTTTCGCTATCTCCACATCACTTTACTTGAAAAGCGCAATATTCTGTTGGTTTGTGTTTGTTATTACGTTAGTTATTTACCCTACCTCACAAGCAGCTCAAGGAAAATTACATTAGAGCAGCAGCCAGCAAATACAAGCAAAATAGCTATCGCGGGATGCATAGTTAGAGAAGGACCAAAGAAAATCGATTAACCGAACTGCTCCAAAGGATAAGTGACCGACTTAAACCTGAGAACGAGAAACCGCGTTCTCGTACCCAGATCTCTTCAATCTTGTTCTAACATCAGTATGCAGTCTCCATATATAAATTAGTCTCCATACGGTTTACAGTCAAGGCGTTCGAGAGTCTTCTAGCCCGAAGTCATGTCGTCTGGAACCTAAGTCATGTCACCCTTGGTTTCAGACATGTCGCCCGGAAAAGAAAAAGTCAAGTCGCCCGATTGTTTCATCACTTGTAAAACACGAAAATGACATAATAGTTGTAGATGCTGAAGGTACCGATAGATCCATCGAAACTCACCTGGTTTATTTAATTACGTTATCAAGCCGTTCTTGTGATGGCGATGCCGTTATAATAAACATCGTGGCACGCTAGCCTCAATCTAATCACGATTCGCGCATTTTTGAGAACAGCACAATCGCAGAAAAATTGAGGTAAACTGCCATTCATGGCATTCTAGTGGGTGATAACGGATACGTTTAAAGGGCATATTTAACGACACCAATCCTCAAGCAAAAGAATCGAGAAGAAATGCGCTATGACATTACCCACAGATCTACTAGGTGTGTTATGAAGAGATGCTTCGGCTTACTACAGCGACGATTTCCACACCCACACACTTAGGACTGTGCACAGCTTTGAAGAATATTCTTGTCATTATCGCGACAACAGCAATCTTGCAAAATTTCGCCCTTATAAATCGAGAGCAGGAGTCTGATGAAGAAACCGAAGATAAAGATGTTCCATTTGACATTGTTGTTACACTAACTCCAGATGTGGTTGGGAATGCTAAATGCCAGCTAACTATATCTCAATACTTTTCATAAAACAATTGCTTAATGGAAATGCCTTTACCGTAACAGCAAGGACGACGGCCACCAGAGTTTGTTTAGTAAGAAATTTATCAGTGTTACAAGCTCCAAAACTACTACATACTGAAAGAATTTTCTTCTTCAATATCATATCCAGGAGGCAAACCAATCCCTAGGTCAGGTGGTGAGAGATTTAGTAAGAAATTTTATCAGTGTTACAAGCTCCAAAACTACTACATACTGAAAGAATTTTCTTCTTCAATATCATATCCAGGAGGCAAACCAATCCCTCAGTCAGGTGTACTCAAGTATACCAGCTTCCCATCCTTAAATGAGTTCAATTTTCATGTTTTGTTTTTCCCTTCCCTTGTCAAGAACGGATCGTCCTCAGTAGACTCTTTAGCGTTTTGCACCTGTCGATGTGGTTGTAATTAGCGATCATTAAGAGTGAACATTGTAAAAAGATTATCATGCAATAAACAAATAATAAATTGGCGCTGAAAAATTAATTACTTTTGACTATGCACCTTTTTTTGTCTTTAGATCTTGCCACTTTATGATTTGAACATCATCCATTCCGCTTGGCCCCGCTACATACATCACGGTCAACGCTCTTCTCGTCTGTCTCCCGTTTTAAATCTGAATACTCCTCAGCGTCATCATAGAAAACCTGCCCAAGCGGATTAAGCGAAGCTGGTCTGACGTTCGCCTATATTCTGGACACTTGACTTAGAGAGGCCGAACTTTTCTTCCTCCAGTCCTCCCGGCTTTGCGGTGTTTTAAATCATGCTCTTTCTTCGACTGAAGTTTCAAACGCCTCCAGCGTCGTTGAAGCCTTGACTGCGAAATAAAATGGATCAGCCGCGTTTTAAGAATGTAATTTAAATATTGTTTAATTGTTGTATATAGCAACAACGTTTGAACAGCATGTTTGCCTTAAACAATGTCTTACTTAGACTTGTGAAGATGAGACAATTTTAATGTAATAGAAAAAATCCGAGCCCCAAATGCGGTTCCAGTCGAGGCCCACAAATTGACCCTTGCTCGCCATAGAGTCTCCAGTAGCTCTGTGGTTAGAGCATCCGACTACTGAGATCACGGAGGGTCGTGGGTTCAAGTCCCATCTGGGGCTCGGATTCTTACTTAGACTTCAATTAGACAACCAGCCCTGGGTAATTAAACTGAGGTGCCAATCTACCAGCAGACAAGGACAAACCGATTCACACAGAGTGCGAAACGTCCGTGGGTACAAAACCACTGAATACCAAACCGACAGTGCAACGCGACATTTTGTTTTTATAGAAACGAACAACGCTTCCCTTTGTTGTTAGAACCGAAAAACGCTTTTCAAGTCGTTATTCAAACATATTTCAGTTCTGACCATACGATCCATTTCTGTGTTGTCAAAGTCTTCTTGGTGTTGTTAGAAACCAAGATAAGGTTTCCCAACTTTACGAAACGTCCGTGAGTACGAAACGAGTACTCACAGAACAATCAACGCTTCGACGTTGTTACAAACTAACAACGCTTCCCTTTGTTGTTAGAAACGAACAACACTTTTAGAGTCGTTACGTTACTCAAACATATCTCAATTGAATCATATGATCGAGAGAAATCTGACTGCCAACCGACCGTAGTGAATGGGGAACGAAGGCAGTGTCAACTCATGGAATGCTTTTTTAACCTCACTTTAACTGACTGTACACGCCGTTATTGGTAAATGAGCGAGGATAAAAATTTTATGCCTTTGTATATGTATGTATGTATGTATGTATGTATGTATGTATGTATGTGTGTATGTATGTGTGTATGTATGTATGTATGTATATATTTGCGATATTTAGACAGGCTGGCCCAGTTCAGCTTTAAACCTGGTTTGAACGGGGCCTTGTATAAACAATAACAAGGCCAGACAACAACTACCGGGAGCTACGTTCCCTATACTCCTTGCGAGAAGTGGGTGGGTTCTTTAACCTCCAATGCAAGCCAGTACTCGTGAACTCTTCTTAACATACGCCGTTATATCAAATTTATTTAAACAGTGTGCTTTAAATTTACTTAAGGACATCCCAAAACGTGAAAAGTTATTGAATTCACCGCACGTTGGTCAAAATGAATTTCCAGCTATTTACTCAACCGACATACGACAATAAAAACCACAGTCTAGTTTAATCAAAAGCTGAGGTTTAAATTTTAAAATAGAAATATTTACCAGTTTGGCGTAAATAAGATCGCCATTTAACTAATTTGAAATTTTGCGGGGTTCACTCCTAAAGGGATTCACTTTTTATCCTAAATAATCGACAACTGTTGCTTTCGAAACTGTAGGTCGCGTAGTTACAGACAGTCTTCACTGTCGACTTTAGTTAAAAATAGGTTCTTCAAACTTTTTTCCCTGAATAAAGGAAAGTGATTTAACAACATGATTCAATCTTAACTTGCCAATTCACCTTAGACATCACCTAGTATGACATCAGACTTTCATGGTAACTTATCTGACATTTGGCCACTTCCCTCTTTATCAAGAATTAACTGACATATTTCATTATGAACTTCAATATATATATACATATATCTATTCCCGTGGACAGTAAAACGCTTGTCTTATTGTTTGCTTTACTGCTTGTCTCATCTCACTGATCTTCCAACAGTAAAGAAACGGGTTTAGCGATGAGTTTAAGAACACAACAGTTCCGGTTATCACCCAGGCGAGGAGATACGACGAAGAAAGTTCTCTTTTAGTAACCACAGAGATCTCCACCACAGCAAATGGTGAATAACACATGAGTAACACCAGCTGCACTGACAATGCGCTGTAAACGGCTTTTCTATATCGCGCGATATTCAGCGAGTTTGTTTGATGGACAAGATCTTGTACTTCGTTGCTTCGATGTCTGAGCGTCCGGAAAATTCTTGTATACAACACAAACGAAGCACCCACACATAATGGTATCACTACATAGCCATAGGAAATTGTTATACGAAAATCTATCGGGTACAGAGCTGCGGCGAAAATGGACTTGATCCAAGTGATAGCGACAACTATATAGGTACGCTTCAAAGTTACAACTTGTCTGTATCTGAGACCCAAGGACAAAGCGAGATATCTGTCAATGCTTATTGCAGTCAGCGTCAATAAAGAAACAAGAACCAAGGTGAAAGCTGTTACCGATAAGGCAGCATATACACGTTTGCAATTATTCCAGTCGCGATGAAGCAGAGATACCGAATAAACAGCTTTAAGAGGTTGAGCCATTAGGCCGACGCAGAGATCAGATGTTGCCAGACAACGAAACAGCAGTTTGGTCGGCGGGCGAAGGGAGGACTCTTTCTGCAGAGCCACAAGGATGAGAGAATTTCCAAGAAAAGCCACGACTGCTAGAAAAATGTTAACAGCTGAAACTGCAACGATTTGTTGCCGTACTTGAGCTGTCAAAGAAGGGGAGCACACCAGCTCATCAAATGCTTCCGCATATGGTTTTACACCTTCTGTTAAATTGGTCGCTGCCATGACTTAAGATTTGAAGGGTAAAATTATAAAAATATTGTATCAACATCCACCCCAGATTACTTGGTAAAGAGTATGAGTTCAATAACTCAATAGTGCCTAGTAATTTGATAACCAAGCTTTCAGAGTGGCAATTTACAAGATTAACAAAAATGAGAAATTATGTAAAAAAAATCTCCTTAGATCCTTATTTGGTAAAAGCGAGAGACGACATTTCATGAACTTTATGGTCAATTCCCATCGTGTTTCGTGGCTGAGTTTGGTTGCAGAGAGGGAGGGGGGGTGGGGGGAGATGTCAGAAACGTTTTGTATGGGTTTGCTTCCGGCAAATCCTTTGGGATGCTTATTCTGAAAACAAGTTTTTCCGGTGGTTTGCGAAATTGCACTGCAAACCCTTAATTAATCTCAAAGTTTTGTGTAGCCGTTTATTTAGTAAAGATGGCTTTCAGCTAACACTGAGAAAATGAATTGCTTTTAAAAAAATCACGAGTTCCAGCCATTAGTTAACAATATTTAGAGAGGGTTTCCTTTGTAATTATCATTTTCAAAATTTTCTATAGGAAGTTGAGCCACCGCAGTTTTTCATCAATTTCAACCTGTGTCAATCTGAAGCCTAAACCACATGAGCCTTATTATATTTTTCTTTCTCGTGTTTCCCAAAGATACAAATTAAAGAAATATTTAAGGTAGACTTTGATTCTTTATGCAAGAAAGTCTGAAAAAAATGTCTTTGAGGAAGGGTTTTCGTGATCGCCGTTTCAAGGTCTTGCTGAGATGATACACGAAGCAAAAATGCTCGCTGATAATTGCTTCTTTAGTGTAGTTTAGTTTGCTTCCGGTAGCGAAATGGGGTGAAGGCCACCTTCACTAATTAAACACATATCGCATACAGTAAATACCCACATATAAGAACACATGATTTTGGAGGCCAGGCTGATCAGGTTCTTATTTATCGGGTGCTTAGTGAAAAGTCAGCCTGAAGGTGTTCTTAAATTGTTCTTAAATTTTGTTGTTGGAATTCAGAACTGTAACAATGCAAAAAAAATGCTTGAGATTAAATTAGCATATTTAATAGAAAAGAAAATTAATAAATATCTTGACATTCCGTATCGTGACAATTAGCCTGCAAAAGAAAATCAGCCTTATTACTAGTTAACTAGTGAACAGAACAAGAAAATACATCTAACATGAAGGGCATGTTAATGTCTTATCCATTTTATTAGAACATTTTATATTTCCAGGCTGATTTTGTTCTTATAAAAATGGTGCTTTATTTGCAAAATTTCAGCCTGATGTTCTTAATCCATGTGTTCTTATATGCGGGTGTTTACTGTAT